TGCAGGCTTTTCTGTTTATTGTTGTTGTGTTTTTTGGGTTTGTTTTGTCTTCTTGTCATTAGCTTTTTGTTGTTTTTGTTTTGTTTTCTTTTGTTGCTTGGTTTTGCTCTGTCTTATTTTTGTGCGTGTTACAATCTCCGCAGGTCTGTCTAAATAAGGTAGGCTGGATGAACAATCTGGAGGAGAAAACAATGGCACCGATTGTTCCGGGGCTACATGGGACAGGGGGTAGTGGAGAGGCAAGGAAGTGCTGTTAACAAACCCAGGGATAATGGAACAAGTGATACAAATCTGTGGTAAGGAGGGTGTAGGAGGCCTGGTAGGGTGTGATCAATGGTAATGTAACCAAGAGGAATTACTGAAACCCAAATGAAGTATGAGAATGATAGTGAGAGAAGACGAAAAGAAAAGGAACTAGAGGAAAGAGCTAGGAAGCAAAGGGCATTTATAGAATTCTAAATAAAGGCATGTACATATGTTGATATATTTATATATCAGGATGGGGAAATAGAACTATGTGCATATATTTATATGTTTAGTATTAAGATAGCAGATGGACATTGGGCCTCCACTCAAGCACTCCCTCAATGCAAGAACACTTTGTTCTATTAAACTGGCATTCCATGATGCTCACCTGCCCGACACGATCGCTGAAGACAAAGCAGGTGCATAAGCAAATGTGTTGAAGAAAGCTGGTGGTGCCCACCTATCAAAAGATATAGCGTCTAGGATCTTAAAGAATTGAAGTTAAACAAGCGGGCATCTAGCTGAGAAATAACAAAGACCACATGGAAGAAGCACACAAGCCTATGTGATCACAAGGTTCCGAAGGGATCAGTTATCAGGCATCAAAGAACAAAAAATCATATCATTGTGTGCTCACTTCCTAGATACCATTGCTGAAGACAAAGCAGGTGCATAAAGGAATGGGGTGAAGAAAGCTGATTGTGCCCAGCCATCAAAAGATACAGCGGCAGGGATCATAAAAGATTGAAGGTAAACAAGCGGCCATCTAGCTCAGAAGTAACAAACCCACATAGAAGAAGGACACCAGCCTGTATGATCATGAGGTGTTAAAGGGACCAGGTATCAGGCACCAAAGAACAAAAAATCATATCATTGTGAACGAGGTGGAGGGCAGAGTGGGACACAAAGCCCATCTGTAGGCAACTGGACTTCCCATTACAGAAGGGTGCAGTGTAGCAATGATAAAACATAAAACGTTCCT